TAGTTTCGATCTTGTCTTCCATTTTTCATCATAATCTGGATTACCCAAAATTATCGTGAGCGGTGCCTTTAAGCACTTTGGTCAGAATGGAGAAAACTGATATTGCAAACTACCCTAACTGCTCTTAATGGGTAAAGGTTTTCAGAACTGCTTACCATTAGATGTACATTTCACCCATAACTGAATCAATAATTAGGTAATACGTTTAGATCTCTTCCACAAGGTGATCCCAATAGCAGGAACTGCGAGCTGTTCGTGGGCCATAAACGACAATATGGTAGAAGAATGTCGTAAGTTTGCTGAAAGAAATGGTGTTCACGAATCTCGCGATTCCAAAAAGGTTTGTTCTGTCTCGAAATACCTCATTCATCTCATTTTCCCATGTACAAATTGCACAATCACCGTCAATTTCAAGAACAAAAAATGGAAAATCTCTTTAATATCATGTATTCAACAGCCCGCTCAGTATTCTTCAGGAAATATCCCAAAAGAATATAGTGTTTGTGAGAAAGGGTGTGGGAGTAAGAAGTCGCGATTTGATCACAGCGACGATGATCCTCAGATGATTTCCCAGCGAGGTATGCATTGACTAGTTGTCCCGCCGCTTGACCCTTCGCTGGCTGCTTTTATAGTCAGCCGTTCGGCTCGCGAGCGAGCGAGAGATCGGGGGCGGCGCCTGCCCCTTGTTTACAACTGAATTATGCTCGTACCGCCTGACGAGTAGTTCCCCGGCCCGATCGCTCGTTCGCGGACTACGAAAGCAGCCATTGAACTCTCATTCGTGGCCGGTGCGTAGATAAAGGTAGGTCAGACCCGAAGAAACCCATTTGCTATGGTTGAATGTACCCTCCCTTTTCCCTCCTGGGAGTGTTTCCACTGGAGGGTGATCCCTTTTATTCTGACATCCACTTCATGCAAGCACTCTCTTGAGAGATGTCTCATGGAGTTCGTAACTTAACTCAAAAAAATGTCAGAACCTTGCGTTGTGATGGATTTTGGCTTAAAAATTTATTCCTTGTGGGTCACTTATATTGAAGACTATTGTAGATGATTGATGCCCTACGGCAGTTGCCAGCTTCTAAATTCGCGTTATCCTTGATGGACAAAGTGGGAACTATCGCAAAATGCTGTCCCGTTGGTCCACGACTCGACTTTGATTTCATTCCAAAGGTTCAGTGACTTTAGCCAGGGTTGCATCCCAATATACTTGATCCTCTTTGATCCTCTGAACCAAGTCTGAGCCATTCGAAATGTTCAGAGTGTCGATCAATTACGTATAGAGGCTCCGCCTAAACCGATGCTGATTGGATGCAGTGCTTCCGAAGGACTCCTGTTTTGTAAGTGTTGTGCTCAGTCCAGCTTGGTTCAATGCGCTCATATTTAAATTATATATGTAATATATATATATATCGCAAGGCTAGACAGTTATGAACAAAACTTCGCCCTCAGACGGGACTCGAACCCGAATTTTGCCCATAACTCGCCAACCTTGTGGAAGTTACGGATCGCGTACTATATAACAGTAAGTTGCTAGCTTGTTCGACACATCACTGCGGTAATCTGCTAAGCTGAAATGGAAGGTCACGTCGACAGTGAAGTCCAAAGGATGAAGTTTTCAGGCTTTATTCAAACCCCTCTGAGGAATGCGCCCCGCAGTTGACTTTCATTTGGAATCGTAGTAGCGTATTGAATGCGTATCGTATATGACTCGTACAATAACTTGCGGTGGCCAGCCTATGTACAAGTCAGTGCTTTTATCCTCCCAGACCAGTCTCGCACCAATTAATTGACTGCAGAGGGATGGAAGGCTTAGTTGATCAAGGCGGACATCAGTCCGGGTTATGAACCCCTTGATCATGCGTAAGTGATGGTGCGCCACATGCCACTACACCACCTCCGCCCATATTGTATTATAATTATAAATGCACTAGTATAAAAAAACTTGATTTTTCATCAAATTCGGAAACTGTAAGAAAAAATTCCTATTAAATTTGTTCCCACCCTTTCTAGCTGATTTAAGAGTATAAGACCGTTTTAAAGTGTACGTCTGGACGAAGTTATTTGTTTTGAATAATGGACAATTAGCACATTACTTTGTTATCGTATTTGTGACTATGTTACTGTATTCACTTTTGTTTGTTTCGAGTTTATTTTCATTCTATTCAGTAGGATTCGGGTACGGGAAGGATCATTCAGTCAGTACGATTATGGAGTATATTTCGGAACTGGTCCCCGAAAGCGAGTACCCTCACATGTTCAAGAAGTTGCGAGAGGAAATTTTACAAAAACTCGTGACAAATCCTCAAAATCCTGTCGAAGTGACCCGAGCGTTCACAGAGGTGAGAATTTTTCTCGTTCATTTTTTTTGGGTGATCGCCTGAAACTTTGTTTTTTTCATTTCAGATGCTTGGCGATTTATTCGTAAACATCGCACTTCAGCAGACTGTTCTAGAAACATTGGAAGCACACGATGATCCCGATGCTCCCGTGTATTTTTATTCATACGACTACTATAACCCGAAAAGTTTTGGGCCGCTGTCATTGCGATGGCCATTCAAAGGCAGTTGTTCTATTCATGTAATAACCATTAAAATTCGGTTACAGTAGGTGCAAAAGCGGCAGGGGGCCCTGAGAAAATTTGCCAAAATGAAAATACGATGGGCAGGAGAGATATGGGATAAAGTCGGTGACTACTAAGGAATCTTCAACGTCTTTCTCACCTTCTCAGAGTTTTTATTCGTCTTCAAATTCAATTTTTTAAAGTTTTTAATAAGGAAATTCATTTGCAGATGCAACACATTGTACGGAATTGGCTTATATTTTCGCTGTGGGAATCGTCTGGAATTTCGATTTCAACGACGATGACAAACGTATGTTAGAGTTGACGACAAAAATGTGGACAAATTTCGCTAAATATGGGTGATTCTTCTTTTTTAACTTCTATCTTTATGTTGAATACAGTGTTAATTTCCATTACTATTATAGTGAGAAAGTAAAAGCGTTCCCTGTTCCTTCAATAAGTTGCTGGCTTCTGCAACGCATCCTTACTGGAATCTGCTCAGTTGAAATGAGTAGTCATGTTGATAGTAAAATCTGAAGGATTAAGTTCTTCGACTTTGGTCAGCATCTGCTGGGTGCGCCCCGCACTCGACTTCCATTTGCAATCGTAGTCATGTTCTGAATCCGTATATGGCTTCTACAAGAAATTGCGTTGGCCAGCCAATGTACAGTCCATTGCTTTTATCCTCTCAGTCGAGTTGGTAGCAATTAACCGACCCCGGAGGGATGGAAGACTTTTTGGAAGATTCCGATCCGAGATCCGAACCCGTGACCAGGTGGGTGCTTCACTTGCCATTACACCACCCGATCCTTATGTTGATAGTAATGTCGACTGAGTTCTCTTGTTCAACGGGCATAGTCAACGGGTCCATCAGTTGCTCAACCCGTCTATTCTTGCGATAAAAATTTTCTAAATATTCTCGAAGGGGTTCGGCGTTATCAATTCTGTGAGTGAATCAGGAGATGACCAACTCTAAGGAGCTTTTCTCTTCTTGATAAGGCTCTGATTACTAGATGTGCTTTTTAGTTCTCATGCTCTATCTTAAGGAGTACCCGTCCCCCCCCCCCTCCCCTACTCCAACCGCTCCCCTCTGCTACCTTTCCGATAAGATTTCAGAAAACTTCTAAAGCTTTTTTCCAAGCGAGTATTGGACCAACAGGTATTCAACATGGTCGCATTTTCAGAGATCCAAATGGTGCAGCCGAACTTTCAATCTCATCTGTGCAGTCCGGTGAAAAATTCCGATGGGAACCAGCGACGCTTTCGAATCCCCAAAGGCACCTAGCCATATCTCTTCATTCAGAAATGAAAGACGAATACAAGGTACTTAGCCATCCATACATTCACACCAGTCATTATTTGGTTTTCCAGAAAGGAAGGCCGTTGTTCATCACTCAAATGCGACGGTCCAGATCCGAATCGAATAGTGCATGAATCTGCCATGGCCGTTTTAAATTGTATAGATTTCGAGTCCTGAATGCAGTTTGTATAAACTGAGAGATGGATTTTATTGCAGCATCCATGCTGAAAACCTGTTCTTGGGGTTTGAGGGAAAGAAAACCGTGTCAGTAGAAATTGTTTAGTATCAGCCATTGTGGAACGTTTTCCTTGGGAAGAATCGCGCCTTCCTTGAAATCTGTTTTGATTTTCGAACAAGGCCAACCTGAGCGTTAGTTCATATGTAGGCTGGCAGTAGCTGATCCAGTGTGACGGGGTAATCCACCCCATCCCTCCTGGGTGAAACTTCCACGAGACTTGTGGTTTGGGAACGATTGAGAGATCACTGTTAGGGCCCTTTCTACCATAGCACTGGATGCACATGTGTACCACCAGGTTGCTGCAGAGATCAGAGGCGTGGGTAGGTTTAATTAATGATTTTAGTTTTCAGACGGTGGAGACGCCTTGGTTGGAAGGTGAGCCGATAGTATCGTAACATCCGTGTAGATTGCATATTTTAGCAGTTCAAGTAATCATTCGATGTTCATAATTTTTCTTTTGGGGCATGCGGATTGTGGACAAAATCCGTAGCTACAACAAGCTCTTTTGGACTTTTC